TGAAACATTAAAATAGCAACAAATTTTGGATTTACACATTCTTCGATTGGTCGCAGGGTAAGGAAACAATTTACTGGTATTTTGGTTTTATCATTGTCTTTGCGGCGGTTTTCACCGTCGCCTGGATGCTTCATAAAATACGAGATTTTTTGGCCAGGAAATATTATAAGTACTGTGTCGAGCAAGATGATTGAGATTACAGTAACGGAAATTACGACATTAAATGAAAATAACTTAAATTTTTCAAGAATAAGTAATAGTGTTTAGGTTTATTTGTTTATTATTAAAAACAGTTTTCGAACATATTACGTGTATTATAAAAAGTATTATAATTAAAACTTTTATTGTAACATTTAATAAATATATAATTATTTATGTTAATAAAATAAAATTTTAATTTTTAAAATTTGTTATATGAAATTATAAATGTATCAATTAATCGTATGATAACAAAAATAACTTGCACTGGTGAAATTCGGCAAGTCTGTCATTGGTAATCACGCAATGTCAAGAGAGGCATTAAATTTAGTACAAGGTAAGTGAATATATTAGAAAATGAGATGAATTATCAGATAATGTAGAGCTTTATTTTATTTTTTGTTGGTTTTTCCTTTTCATGTATTTCTTACTCTTACAAAAATTTTACACTTTTAACTATGACATAATCGGGTGGTAGTATTATACGATTCATGTGTTTTGGTTTTCTATTTCCTTACATTATAAATTGCTTTATACAATATGTTATAATATTTAAATATACTGTATATAAATTATACTAATTTGAAATAATTTAAAAAAAATTATTATTATTAAATAACAATTTGTTGCATTAATTAAAAGTAAAAGCTTAATTTAAATTTATTAAAAATCAATAGTTTCTACTATAAATTATACACGGTTACAATATTATCAAGAGAAAACCAATTACATTGTTAATTGGTGACAGAATTTATATAACAGATATTAAGGCTTTAAAAAATAATAAAATTTATCAAGGCATTTAATTTGATCAAGATAAGTAAACTTAAGTTTATTAATAAACTTGTTAACCTTTTTTATATATTTAAATAAAAATCATTTTATTATTATTATTTATTTTCTTTTTTTAAAAACATAATAACATTAAGAAACAAAAGAAACAACTGCAGAATTAATTAAGAATATTATTCTAATTAATTGTTTAAAATAAAAATTAAATTGCTAATTGCAATTTTAAAAGCACAACATGATTTATTAATCAAAAGATAATGTTAAAAAAAAGCTTATTAATAAAAAATTTTTAGTCAAATTAATTATATATATTTGAATTTATTTTAATAAGTATATTATAGGAAATTATGAGAGTAAGTATAAATGCAAGTATATTAAATATAACAAAATAAAAATTATAAATAGAATAACTAAGTTTAGATTTGTATATCATGTTATAATCTTGTACTTGACATATATACTCCAAGAAAAATGATAAAAATAAGGTTAAAGCTAAACTTGTTAAGTAACAGATTAACATCTGAGTTGTCTGTAATTTATATTACAGGAACAAGATAAAACTGGATTTGCCAAAGGAATTAATAAGACACAGGATTCAATAGTAATTTACTGATTGGATGAAATTATACCAATCAAGTCAAAACTGTTTCAGAAATTAAAACCTTTAGTTTTATTTATCTTTTGTAGAACATAATATAAACTGAGACCTGATATAGCAATGGACTTGTCAATTGCTTTATAATAATATAAATCTTAATTTCAAAATAGCAAACTTATTAAATTTTAATCTTAATAATATTTATATATAGAATTTTCAATAAATAAATAATTATTCTAAAAAAAAAATCTCTTTCTCACAATATTTCCATTTATAGAAAATTGCCTTTTTAGAAAGCTTCTTTCTTTCTTTCATGAAATTTTATATAGTAGAATATATCCTTTAGAAGGGAATATAGATTAGAGAACTAATTTAGAGCAATGGGGGATAAAATATATCCCAGTTATCTTATTATTTATATTACAACACAATAATATTACAAAATTTTATACAACTAAACTCATTAAGTTATATATAACTTGTACAGTATTAATACCTGACTGAAATTCTTAATTGTATTTAGTGTTGGGGGTTATAACGGCAAGTCTGTCGCTACATCGCAATCACTGATCATGTAACGTAGAAAGAGGCGTGGAGATGTGGCACGAGGTAAGTGAAAGTGTTAGATAATAATCTGAGTTTTATAGTAAAAGGACGGTATTTTATTGTTGCTTTTTCTCTAGTACATTCCTCTCTTTATATACATGTTAAGAAATCCCAAAAATCCCAAAAATCCCTCAAGCTCCAATTAAATCCCAATTGGGCAAGAATGACATATGTTGAATCTATCTAATTTTTCAGTTCCTCTTATATTAGGAACCATATTTAACAAAAATTTCAACTTTTTTTTTTCTTTTTATCTAAACATTTTACAATATTAGTGATCTTGTCTCAAATGTTTTTTTTATTTTTTTTTCTTACAAATGGTTTTTCAGGTTTTCTTTGCTTAAGAGTTTTTCAAATAATATATTTATTTAATAGGTGATAGGCTAATATCTACAGTGATATAATTCATATTTTAATATTAATTATGTAACAAGTTAAACTTTTATTTTATTAATAAAGATAATGAATAATGCCTTACTTTAATATTAAAAAAAATAATTATTCTATATTAAACCTTTTATTTTATTAATTAAATCAATTGTAAGTTTTATTTTTTGAAGAAAATTTTTCTATAAGTAAATATTATTTCTTTATTTGATTTGTATATAATAAAATATATATTGTCGCGGGTCAGGGGTCTATCAGCAGTAACGGCAAAATCCTAGACTTCGCGACACTTCGACAAGAGTATCTGTTATAACAGGGGGGGATCAAAGGCAGAAAGAGGCGTAGATTTGGCGAGTTTGTGTGATTTAGGGGGATTTTTATTGGTCAGAACAGTGCAATAAGTAGGTCGATTTTAACACTTCTTTTTATTGATTAATCGTTCCGCTCCCTTTTACTTTTCTTCTACTACATCGTTTTTATACTTTTTCTTACAGCAAAAGAAAATAAAAGAAATAAAAGAAATAAAAGAAATAAAAGAAATAAAAGAAATAAAAGAAATAATGAAAATAAAAGAAATAATGAAAATAAAAGAAATAACGAGGTTAAGGGTCGATTACCCATTTTGGCAACCTCTATAATGCGTGATCGTCATTCTCAATTTCTAAGCCATATTGTCAATCGTCGTTTCCCCGTAACAATATTATAAAAGAAACAATATTTTTTATATACAAAAAATAACAAGTTAAATGCTAGCTTGTCTAGATATATATATCTAACTAATATTGAAAAAAATTTAAAACAATAATATATACTAACTGTATTTAAATAGCAGGTATATCTATTTATTCAAAAAATTTTATAAATTTTTTTTATAAATTTATAAATAAAAGAATTAAAAAAAAATAAACTAAAATTAAATTAAATAAACCATAAAATATATAAGTACAAAACCAATTATTTTCTTAAAAAACTATTAAACAAACTTGTTTCATTTTTTTGATTTCTTTATTACTATAAATGATAAAATATATATTCCCTAAATCATAAGGTATTTTTTTTATAATGTTTAAAAATTTTTAACTAAAAAGTTGCTTTTCATTTATTTTTTTAAATAATTAAAATATTTTTCTAAAAATTTATATAATATTAGTTTTAATTA